GCCATTTTTTTTTTCCCCCCCAAGGGGCATTTTTGGGGGTGTGATTCCCCCCCCGGGGGCCTCAGAAAGGGTCCGCAACCGGGACAACCCGCCCCCCCACCCGGGCCCGGTCGAAGCCCCCTTGGAGGCACCCAGGAGGAGTCCTCTTGGTGCTCCTGGCGGCCTTTTGAACCTCGGGCGCGCGCCGATGGCGGGGGGGGGGGTCTTGCTTGCTCCACACCGAGCGCCATCGGTCCGGACCGGTGCCTCCACCGAGGGGTGGCTTGCACAAGGTCTGAGCCGCGGGCGCTCGGCGCCAAGTGCAGTGTCACGCTCGCGCTGGAGCGGCTCACAATGGGGAACCCTCGTTTCCTATGTACTCGGTCCCCCAACGGAAGAGGCCTCGCTCCTATTGGAACTGGCCAACATCAGATTTGCCGCGTGCGTCCCTTTTTGAGTCGCAAAGCTATTTTCTTTTGGGTCCTGTGGGCACCCTACTAGCCTAGCAGCGGAACGCCCCCTCTACTCGGGGCTCTAGTAGACACCAGACACTAGCACGACCACACACAGCGGACGTCCGCCGCAATTCGGACACTGCTCTTTCCCACGCCCGCCACATGACGCCCACCGCCGCCGCGTCGGTCGGCGCGCGCCGACGCCGACCATCACCACCGACCGACGGCTCGCACGGCCGTGCGGTGAGCAAAAATTTGGGTCGCTGCGCGCCTGCCGGATGCTCTGCGACGTCTGGACGCTCGCCAGAAACGCCAGGAAGCTTGCCTTCCACCCCTGGGCCCGAGGGCGAACGGCAGTGGTCGGCAGCCTCTGCGACGCTCCGATCGGCTCCTCGACCTCATCGCCTGCGACGAGCCAGCATGGCTCGTCGCTCGATGGCAGCCTGCTCAGTATGCTCTTGGCATTCTGTACAGCCTCGCCAGGCTCTCTGAGACGGCCTGCAGGGCCGGCGCGGACCGCCTCGGGCGCGATGGCCCTCCTCAGTACCTACCTCTTCGATGCCTGTCGGCTCTCCAATCTCGTCGCCGGCGGCAGGCCCGCATGGCGCGCTGCTCGATGGCAGCCTGCTCAGTACGCCTTGGACAGTGACTTCTGCCTCGCTGCTCTTACTGCAGCCGCCTCCGGGGCCGGCGCCGGCCGCCTCGCTTCGCCAGTTGCTGTCTACGCCTGCGACACGCGTGTCGGCTCGCCGCCCGCGTCGCCCGCGGCGGGCCCGCATGGCTCGCCGCTCGTCGGGAGCGTTCCCAGCAGGCTGTGCAGGGCAGTCTGCCTCACTCAGGGCGCCGCCGCCGCTGCGCGGGGCCGCCACCGGCGCTGCTGCCGTGAACACTGCCGCCGTGTACGTCACCATCGCCTCTCTTCGTCGCCGATCTCGCCGACGCCGCTCGCCGCTCGCCGCCGCCCTGCCCTGCCCCGCCCAGCCCTCGCACAAACAAACCAACACACACACACATACACACACACATACAGACACACAAAACACAACCGACCAACCTCGAACGCCCCGCGTCCTCCCGCCCAACGCCCTGCGCCTCACGCCTCGCGTCCCACGCACGCCCCGCGCCCCGCGCCCCCACGCCCCTCACCTCGCGCCTCACGCCTCCCTCCCCACCCTCTCAGGCATTTCTCCTCCCTGCTGCTCGCCGACTCCTCCTTCCCCCGCATGACCGCCGACTACCCGTCCTTCGGCGTCTCCTCCCTCTTCGGCGCCAACGTCTACTACCGGGGACCGTCGCCCTCGGGCGTACTGGAATGATCCCAGCGGCACACGTCTACGAGGGGGGGCTCCGAAAGGTCGGCATGCCTGGCATGTCGGGCGACTAGGCAGGTCATTGACCTTCCCCCCGCTTGTCCACCCGGCGTGAGGGGCGGGAGCGCAGCCATTCCAGCGGCCGGGAAAGTTTCTGAACGGCCGTGCATGCGCCTGCATGCCGGCTTACTAAGGAGGTCCCTCGCTCCCGCCCCTCTCCCGGAAGACGCGCGCCGGCCCGGGTGACTCGCTTGCGAGGTAGATCCCGTTCCAGCCAGAGGCCGCGTGACCACCACGGGGACGGCTGGTCGAAGGAGGAGAGGTCATCCGGATGTGGGCGGGACGCCCCCGGGCACCTGGTTGCTCTCCTCTTCCAGAGTCCCTCCCGACGGGGACGGTCTTGGGCCATTCCAACGGCCAGGCCGCTCGCTTAAGGCTGATTGGCTAGACGAGCGGCCTACCTCCAACGGGGCAGTCTGCTCACGCGTGGAACCTGCCCGCCTCGGTGGGAGGTGGTTTGGCGCCGACAGACAGTGGAGGTCTAAGCCGAACCCGCCGGGCCGCTGGCGGGGTGACGGTAGACCACCACTGCAGACAGCCCTTCCCGACGGGGACGCCATCACCCTCGCCCAGGGATCTACAATGCTGTCTTAAGGTCCGACCTGTGGGCTCTGCCTGCGCTCGGCACCGGGCACCGCCTCGGTATACAAAATGCGCCTGCGGGCGGACCCTCACAGATCACAGATCACACACACATTCCGGTGACATCACCGCTCGGAACCCCCCGCTCCGCGCACGGTGATGAAACACGCGTTCGGGCCAGGCTCGCGGCCACAATGGCGGTGCCGGTGGCCCCAGACCAAGCCGTGATTGCGCTCGGCGTCATGAGCACCGTCGTCGCCTTTGAGAGCGGCCGCGCGACCAGTAGCAAGATGGGGCTCATGCGCGAGCGGGTGCGCGAGGCTATGAGCACCGCATCGCCCGGCCATGGCATCGCAACGCGCTTCCTGCTCGCGCAGCGCAACAGCAAGGACGCCTCCGCCGTCGACGCTGCCGCGCTGGCCGAGAATGCCACGCACGGCGACCTCCTGTTCGTTGACATGCCCGAGCGCTTCTACCTCTGCGCGTGGAAAAAGGTGCTGTGGTACCGGCACGCGCTTCGCCACTTCCCTGCGGCCGGGTTCATCCTCATCGCCGACCCGGACGCCTTCATCCAGCTAAACCACCTGAGCGAGGACCTGCGCTCCGTCCAGCGGCTCATCGACCGCGGGGCAGCGAGCGCACACGTCCACTACGGGCTCGTGCTCTGGAAGGCGTTCTACAATGCGGTGAGCGAGGAGCCCGCCGTCGACTTCTCCGGCTGGCTCTGCGACGACTCGGGCGCCCTCCGGCTGCGCCGCCGCTTTGAGCGCTGCCGCGACGTGCTGCGCAACGCGAGTGCCACCGCGCCGGAGAGGCCCGAGTGGCTGCTGCCAGGCAAGGGCGCCGACTCTGCGTATGACGCCTGGGCGGAGGCTACGCTGCAGCCTCTCAAGGGCTGCAAGGGGCTACAGCGCGGGACGCGGCGCGCGCTCGAGCGGATGGAGGCGTCGAGCGGGCCGTACCCCTTCACGAGCGGCCCTCTCTTTGGCCTCTCGCGGCCGCTCGCCGAGCTGCTCGCGGCGCCGGGAGGGCCGGCAGACGAATGGCGGCGCCGGATCGAGCGCACGCAGCCGCTCCGGATGTACTTTAGCCGCGGTTTCCGCATCCCCTTCACGCTGCGCAGCGCGGCCTGCTACCCCGCCTCGTTCGACGCGACGCACGGGCGGTGGGTGTGGGAGCTCGCCCGCGCGTCGGGCTTCGCGCTCGACGTGACGCTCGTCAACACGCCCTTCATGGTGCAGCACCACCCGTGGCTCTCCTTCCGGCACGGCGCCTTCTCCAACGCATCCCTCGTGCTGCACGAGCTCAAGAACCCGAGCTCGCCCGGCTGGGCCTTTGCCGCCGCCCGGGGGAGCGGGCCCTTTGTGCCGTTCGAGCGCGGCTGCGGGCCGTGCGGGGCTCCACCGGCGGGGGCGTCGCGAGGCGCGCAGGGGATGGGGTGGGTGACGGCGGAGCACGGCAGAGAGCCAAACCCGGTGTCGCGCTGGCGATGTTGCGGCGCGCCAGACGGTGGCTGCGGAGACTGGAAGCCGCCCAACCGCAGGGCCGGCGCGCAGAGCGCCGCGCCGCGGCGGCGGGGGGCGTCAAGAACAGGTGCCAAGGTGTGAGTGCCACTGTCGGGTCATCACGTCTCCATGCTGCCGTCAAGTCGGCGCCAGGCATTTTGGGGCGAGCTGTGTCTCTCTGCCCACACTGCCCCGCTCTGCCCTCTCTTTAGTTAGAGTCGCTTTGAGTCGGGGTCGAGAGTAGAGTTGCGTGACGCCGTGACCCCACCTATGTGGCGGCTCAAAGTCAAACTCTCCACAACACGCGAGTCACGAGCCGTGCAGTCAGCAGGGTCTGCTGCAGAGAGCAGCTGGAGCTGTTGCCCCGGGCAAGCCCCCCCAGAGAGGCATCTCCTCAATCAAATCTTCTCAGATCTCTTCACATATCTTGCTCACCTATATGTTCACGCCCTACCGTACACTCCTCCGCCGTTCGGCGACGCGCGGTGACACCCCCGCCGCGCACACCTCTCCGCTCGCCGCCCTCCGAAGGGGCGCGAAGCCTGCTCCGCATCTCGCGCCGGCGGGAGAGCCGCGACTGCGCCGAGAGCTCTCTCGCCCCTGCCCCACCCCTCGCCGCGGGCAGCAGCGGCTCAGACCTCGTCCTTGTCGGTGCTCTCCTCGGCATCCATGTCCTCCGCCTGCGGCGGGCGTGGCGCAGCCGTCGGCACCGTGTGTGCGGCGCTCGAGGTGCGGCGACAGTGGCGGGCGGGTCCTGACGGCATGTGCGTGCGTGTGCGCACGTGTGTGTGTGTGGATGGGGTGGGGGGGAGGGGGCGTGCGCGCGCCTCCTCCTCCTCCTCGCCCTCCTCCTCCTCCACCACGTCATCCTGCACCTCAATCTCCGGCTCGAGCGGCGCGTCGACCGCCACGCCGATCGACGACGAGACGATGGAAGCGACGCGCGTCGAAAAGTCGACGGCGTCCTCCGGCGTCAGCTGGTAGCCGGCGGCAACCACCGCCGAGAGGTAGAGGGACAGGACGGAGTCCTTCGTCGCCTCGTCCGCGCTGCCGTCCTTGATCTTGCTGTTGAGCTCGACGATCATCGGGTGGCGCGGGTTGATGCCGAAGTTGCGCTTCGACTTCATAAACTCAAACTTGGATTGGTCGGAGAAGGCCTGCGACTTCATCACCTTCTCCATCTGCGCGGTCCAGCCGTAGTCGGCCGAGAGCGCGACGACGGGCGACGAGACGAGGTGCTTGGAGATCATCACCTTCTCAACCTTCTTGCCGAGCGTCTCCTTGATGTAGTCGGTGAGCGGCTTGAACTTGTCCTTGTACAGCTCCTCGCGCCGCTTGTCCTTGTCGCCCTCCTCGAGCTTGAGGCCCTCCCGCGAAGCGTTGATCAGCCGCTTGCCCTCGAACTCGGTGAGGTGCTGCACCTGCGGCAGCCGAGAGCGAGAGCCCCGCGTCGACGACGCGTGTGATGGTGGTGGTGGTGGTGGTGGTTGGTGGTGGTGGGTGGGTGGGTGGGTGGGTGGGCGGGGGGAGATACGCCTCCGGACGTGGGGCTGCCGCAGTGCGAGGGGTGGTGCGTGTGCGCGTGTGGTGGGTGGGTGGGGTGGGGCGGGGTGGGCGGGGTGGGCGAGGGGGCCCGCGCCGTGTACTCGTCGACCGAGTCCGTCATGAAGATGATCTCGTAGTCCATGGCGAGCAGCTTCTCGACCGACGGCGACTTGAGCAGCGACTCCTTGTCCTCGCCCGAGATATAGTAGATGTTCTTCTGCTCCTCCTTCATGTTGGCGACGTACTCCTCGAGCGAGATCTCCTTGTCGCCCGACTTGGACGTCGCGTACCGCAGCAGCTTGGCGAGGCGAGTCCGGTTCGCCGCATCCTCGATCAGGCCCATCTTAATGTACTTGCCGAACGCCTTCCAAAACTTCTCGTACTTGCCCTCCTCCTCGTCCGCCTCGTCCTCCTTCTCCTCCACCTCGCCCTCCTCCTCGTCCTCGTCGTCGTCGTCCTTCTTGTCGGCGTCGGCGAGCGCCTTGATCATCGCGAGCGCCTACGAGGAGGAGAGAGCTGCTGCGCACCGGCGAGCGGGAGGCCGTGAATCAGCCTTGGCCGCCGCGAGCGCCTTGCGCGTCATCTTCTTGCCAATCACCTTGAGCACCTTGTTCTGCTGCAGCATCTCACGCGACACGTTGAGCGGGAGCGAGTCCGAGTCGACCACTCCCTTGATGAAGCCGAGGTAGCGCGGCAGCAGCTCGTCGAACTCGTCGGTGATCATGACGCGGCGCACGTACAGCTTGAGGTTGGACTGCTTCTTGTAGTAGTCGTTGTACAGGTCGTACGGCGCCTCCTTGGGGATGTCTGCGGGGAGGGGCGGGTGGGTTGGTGTTAGTGTCTTCGCCTTGCAGCGCGGTGGGCGGTTGGGCGTGGGGAGATACGCCTCCGGACGTGGGGCTGCCGCAGTGCGAGGGGTGGTGCGTGTGCGCGTGTGGTGGGTGGGTGGGGTGGGGCGGGGTGGGCGTGGTGGGCGAGGGGGCCCGCGCCGTGTACTCGTCAACCGAGTCCGTCATGAAGATGATCTCGTAGTCCATGGCGAGCAGCTTCTCGACCGACGGCGACTTGAGCAGCGACTCCTTGTCCTCGCCCGAGATATAGTAGATGTTCTTCTGCTCCTCCTTCATGTTGGCGACGTACTCCTCGAGCGAGATCTCCTTGTCGCCCGACTTGGACGTCGCGTACCGCAGCAGCTTGGCGAGGCGAGTCCGGTTCGCCGCATCCTCGATCAGGCCCATCTTAATGTACTTGCCGAACGCCTTCCAAAACTTCTCGTACTTGCCCTCCTCCTCGTCCGCCTCGTCCTCCTTCTCCTCCACCTCGCCCTCCTCCTCGTCCTCGTCGTCGTCGTCCTTCTTGTCGGCGTCGGCGAGCGCCTTGATCATCGCGAGCGCCTACGAGGAGGAGAGAGCTGCTGCGCACCGGCGAGCGGGAGGCCGTGAATCAGCCTTGGCCGCCGCGAGCGCCTTGCGCGTCATCTTCTTGCCAATCACCTTGAGCACCTTGTTCTGCTGCAGCATCTCACGCGACACGTTGAGCGGGAGCGAGTCCGAGTCGACCACTCCCTTGATGAAGCCGAGGTAGCGCGGCAGCAGCTCGTCGAACTCGTCGGTGATCATGACGCGGCGCACGTACAGCTTGAGGTTGGACTGCTTCTTGTAGTAGTCGTTGTACAGGTCGTACGGCGCCTCCTTGGGGATGTCTGCGGGGAGGGGCGGGTGGGGCGGGGGGTGAGGGCAGGGGGATGAGCGCCGCTCGCGGTTGGCCAGGGGTGGGGGTAGGTCGGTGGCGTGGACCAGGAGGCACTGCGTAGGCCGTCAGGCGGCACTGCGAGGGGACGGGTGGAGAGGGCGGAGAGGGCGGAGGGCGGCGCGCACAGAGGATCGACTTGAACTCGACCTCGCCCTCGGCGGAGAAGTGCGTGTGCGTGAGCGGCTCGCCGACGTCCTTGGTCAGCGACTGGTAGAAGGACTTGTACTCGTCGTCGGTGATGTCGGACGGGTTGCGCGTCCAGAGCGCCTTTGCGTCGTTGACCAGCTCCCAGTCGGAGACGGTCTTCTTGACCTGACCGCCGGAGATCGGCCGAGGTCAGCAGGAGATCGGCCGAGGTCAGCCAGAGGGCAGCCGAAATCAGCCGAGGGTGGCGGTGGCGGCGAGAGGGCCGCGAGAGCGGTGGCGGCGGCGTGACGGAGGTGGTGTGGCGGAGGAGGTGGTGGTGAAGGGGGAGGAGGAGGAGGTGGTGGTGGTGAAGGGGGAGGAGGAGGAGGCGTGCCTTCTTTGTCTTCGGGGCGTCGTCCTCCTCCTCTGCGTCCTCAATCTCCTCCTCGTCCTCCTCCTCGTCCTCGCCCTCCTCGTCGTCCTCGTCGCCCTCCTCGATGGGCACCTGCGCGTCCGGTCAATCTCGGTCAATCTCGGTCACTCTCGGCCAATCTCGGGCGAGCTCGGGCATGATCGGCCAGTCTCGGCGTGATCTCGGCGTGATCTCGGCCGATCTCGTCTAATCTCGGCCGATCTCGTCTAATCTCGGCGGGGTGTGTGGGCACCTCCTCCTCCTCCTCCTTGGTCGTGTACAGGTAGATTGGGAAGTTGATGAACTCGGAGTAGCGCTTGATGAGCCCCTTGAGCCGCTCTTCCTCGAGGAACTCGAGGCAGTCCTCCTTGAGGGTGAGCACGATCTTGGTGCCGCGGCCGAGCTCCTCGCCTGCAGGCGCGAGGCGCGGGAAGGGTCGGGGCAGGCAAGGGTCGGGGCAGGCGAGGGTCGGGGAGTGGTGGGGAAGTGGTGGGGAGGGCATGGGGGTGGTGGGGAGAGGACGGGGGGAGGGCGGGAAGGCGGCGGCGGCGGCGGAGGAGGAGTGTGTGTGTGTGTGGGGTGTGGGGTGTGTGTGTGTGTTTGGGGATGGGGGTGTATGCACCGGGCCACACCTTACCGATTTTCTTGCTCATTACGCGTTTTTACGCGGGGGTTTGATAGGTTCAGTGCTCTACCGATACCCCCCTTTTTCCCTCTTTTATACTTGAGAAAGGCCGTGTCCCTTGCGGGGGATATTCCCCAGAAAACCACTGGTGTTGGTGTGCCCCCTCCTTTTTTCTACATTTT